CAGAGTCAGAGAGTTATTTTTAAGTTTTCTTTCATATTTTGGGAGCCGGGAGCCTGGAGCCTCTGCTGGGGTTTTCCCCACGGAACTCATTTTCATATTGTTAAAACAACTGGCAGTTACTTCAGGTGTAACTAGTAAAGCAGCATACCTGATGGTATTTAATCACTTTGTTTCTTAGGTTTTTTTAAGCCTTAAGTCGCATGTTTTCTAAACATTGTAGTAAAAGGTGTACAGGCTACTGGAGTTACCAAGATTAAAATGCGCTTCCCCGTTTCAGCTGTCGTCTTATTTAAAGTGTCATAAAAGCCTAAAACCTGATGAGATTACATAAAAATTCTTCCAGTGCTCATGACAATGTTATTTTAAGTATGAAATATGTTTTTATATTGCTCGTTGCCAGGAGCAGAGTTGCAGAAGGAGTGGCATGTAGCAGCCGTAGTTCCCCCCAAACAGGAAAGTGCTTGGTTAGCACAGTACATTTAAGCTGTTCATCATACAAATCACAAAATATAATCGTGTTCATTCCAGTCAGTTATACAGGAATGTTGTTTTCGTTGATTCTTTTTACTGTAGAAAATGGTACTTTGTGCTCTTGCAAAATATTTCTGATCTGTGTAGGAGAGAGATCATCTCCTCTTCTAGAGGTCAGCAAAGTGATGAGAAGCACCTCTTGCTACTTGAAAAGTTACTGTATTAAATTCAAAGGATGAACGTTTCAGTTGTAACATTACTGCCTGTAACATACAGATTTGTCTGTTAATGAGCAGAAAGTTAAGGCAAATCACTGTGACAACTCATGTAGCCAGCCTGATGCTCTTAATGTTTCTGAAAAACACTGAGTGTAATGTTAGAAGTATACAGAAGTAATAAATTTCTAAGCTTTTGGTAAGTTACTGTAGGTGCTAAAAAAGCTGTTGCATGGGAGTAGTGAGGTGAAATTCACATATACAGAAAGAGTGCTAGTGTTTATCTGTAGATGTGATCAACCTAGCTTTTCCAAAATAATCTGTAGAATACTTCTAGCTAGTGTGTTTTTCTAGCGTATGGTTCTATCACTACAAGTGAGAACGGGTGTCAGTAAGACAGTAACTTCTGTGATGCAGTGGCCTGTAACTTCAGTCTTCAGCACATTTTTGCTCACCTGAAAGCAAGAGGTGGCTTTGTAAATGGTGGTGCTCTGGGCATAGAGGTTAGAGGAGCCAGGCTGGTGCTGCTGTTGAGAACTGGAACCTTGTGTGAGGTCTGGAGATAGGGGGTAGACTACCCTTAGATGGAGCATCAGCCTTTGGTTTCCTTCGGTCAGGTTGTGGCAGCAGTCAAGTGTTTATGGTTGTTGTATGCTGCTGCAGGGTTCACAAGCCAAGTCTTTGGGGAAACTTGCCCTTTTGTTACTTGTGTCTTTCTGGTACTTCTCTGAGGAACACAATAATGACTTGACATCATATGCGCACAACTTAATCAGTGTTAGTTGTAGTTCTGTGGGACATCTGAAAAGCATGTTTCTTTCTGTCAAGGACTTAAATCTCTCAGATTGTCAAGACTACTTCCAAATGCTGAGGGAGTTAAAAGATTCTAAAAACCTTTAGGAAAGTTATAGTGGGAGAGATAAGCAACCTAAATACAGGGGTCACAAGCATTCCCCCTGTGATCTCGAGTTATTCTGTGTTATTTTGGATGGGTTGAGTTGGGCACAGGCAGCTTGTATTGATAGCCTCTTCTGCTTGAATATATTTAAGGTATGAGCTGCATCCAGAAGTTAAAGCAAAATGCTTGAGTAATTTGTGTGTGAGAAGGAAGGTGGAGGGGATGGGAGACTTAGACTAGGGAAGCACTTAAGTGCCTTGGCACAGGAAGCTGCCGTTCATCAGTGAGATGCTTCTATTGAATGTGTTTGGAAACCTTTCTGTGAGTTCTAATGTGAGCTTTTATTTTATGAAAGGCTTGGAAGTTGTTTCACCTGTGCACTGTACTTGGTGTGGGTTTTTTGGTTTTTTGGGGGTGGGGCTTGCATTTTTGTTTTGGTTTTGTTGTTTTTTGGGGTTTTTTTAAATCAGCACCTTGTTTGGTAGTGGTATGTATTTGTCAATGGTTAGTGTAGGCAACTGAGGCTCTACTTCATTTGGTGTCTATTTGTCCTACTGACAAACAATTTTAGGATTTGTTTGTCTTGGGATTTGGAAAAGTTAAATTAGTTCATTGGGGGGTGGTATGAAAATACCTAAGGTAGCCTGCAAAAGTCTTTTTGAGAAAACAAAGTATTTTTTAACTACTTCACAGCATTGTTTTTGTAAGATTAGCGTTCACAACCAAGGAGTTGACACATCCTTCCCCTGATACACATGCACGACAGCAGCTTTACAAGCTTGCCAAATCTTAATATTCAACTTTTCTGTTGGAAAGCATATTGCGAAGATTCATGCCTCTAGCAAACCTTGCATTCATTGTTATTTGTATCCTTATAATCCTCGCAGACTCAGTGCTTTTTATATAATCATAGTTGTAGAGAACAATGTGTATTATCCTTTTGAGGTGAGGAAGCAGGTCCTGTAACTTGAGGAAGTGTGAATATTTAACCTAGCACAATGCAGTCCTATTATGCTATGTACACCATCAAATTCAATTCCTCTTGTGTATATCCAAGTCATTTATTTGACATCTTACTTTTCCTAGAAATGTTCACAAGGTTTTAAAATAACTGCTTAATACTTCCTGTTTATCAGAATCTTTAAAGAGAATGGGTACTTGAAAGGACATGTTATTTTGACATAACCCAAACATTAATGGTAATGTTCACAAATACTTACTTTTATTCTAAAGAGATACTGTAGTAGTGGTATAAATTCCTTTCCTCAGACCCTGATTACCCTCTACCTTGTAAAATACAATGTTAAATAGATGTAGGTACATAAAAAATGTCAGTTTGATCTAAAGAAATATGGACAAAGTTGGGTGGTTTTGCTTCATTAAATAGTAAGAATTGATTACTGATAGGCTTTATAAAAATCTAAAAAAGTTTTGGTTAACTTTTAGAAAAAATGCATCTGCTGACTTTGTATCTAGATTATAGCAGCAAACTTGTCATAGTGTTTTGTACTCTGGCTCTGCATTGTGTTGAACCAATGTTTCAGTACTCTAATACTGCGAATGAAAAAAAATCTAGAAGTACGAGTTTCTGACTTGTTTAATATTTCATGTACACTAGTAACCTCACTGAAAGACTCCTTTTTTTTTTTCCCCCGTAATCATGACAGCTTGATAAATTGTGCTTTTCCTTTTGCTCCATAGGTTCGCCTTAGCGAAGCAGATTTTAAGGTTTTACCTAGAGATGAGCTCATCCTAAGGTAAAGTAAAAAGCAGTGTTTCCATCTCAACTTAGTGAACTTTTAATGGAAGACGTGTGACCTCCCTCTTCCATTGTTTTTAGCATCCTTGTTCTGAAAAAAAAATTTTATCCTTTTCATGATACGTCTCTTCTGTAAAATTCTCATCTTGTCTCAAATATTTTTATATACAGTTTGGGGGGAAACACTTCTTCCAAAGAGACAAAATCCTGAACAATATTTTGTAATACATGAGTAGGAGGTTTTTTCTTCACTTGTAACTTAAGAAGATATGGTTGCTTGCATTCCTTGCTAGATAGCAGGTTATTTTTAAACATCAGAAAAATGTCAACTCCTTACTCCTACAGTAAGGCTTAAGTTTTCTTAGTCCGCACAGTCATCTTCTCAGCATATTCAGATAGTAACAGTAAAATGTGAAAATGAAGTTTTAATGCCTAAAACTTTCATAAAGAAGAGCCTGGCCATCTTTCACCTTTTAGAAAGCTGTGTCACCGTGGAAAAAATAATTGGCAATTCTGTCATGCAGACTACCTGCTTGGGGAAACAGACCCAAACCACTTGTCTCTGTATACCTGAATTTCCTGACTTGTAAACAAGGAGCTAACTAAATTAGGCACCTGTGGGTCATCTGGTTATCTGCTGGAGTAGTTTGCATTTTGGTAAACTTCAGCTTTTGGCTTTTTGTACACCACAAGTTATTAGCAATATTAGGGTCTCTCGAGTTAAATACTGCCATTTCATAGGACAAAGACTAAATTGTGTAGAAACACGAGGATACAAGTGCAACACTTAATGTATATGGTCAGCTACTCCCTCTTCTGGGCAAACTGTCCTGTCAGCTACTTCTGGGGTGACAGTTCCTTCCAGCAGACTCAACATAGTTTGGCTCCATGTGTTTAAAACTGGTTTCTGGCTTTCTCCGAGTATCTAGTCTTTTGGGTATTAAAACCTAATGTATTTAAGCAGTTGGAAAAAATCCTTCTTTGATGTCAAGTGCTTTGGGCCTTGTGAACCTTTTCATAAAGGTTTCTGTACTCAAGGTTATCCCTGGGAACAGGGAACTCCTAAGTCTGTAAAGCTATGCCATTACTTCCAGCTATAAATGCCTGTCACAAGTTCCAAAGCATAGATTCTGTGCTACTTGCTTTCTGACTGACAGTGTGAAAACAAAGGCTTTCAGCTGCAATCAGTTCTTGTAACTTGCAATGGTAAGTTGCTACCATTGAAGAGATCAATTTCCAGCTTATGTTCAAGTGAGAATGTGATGCAGTACGCCCAAGGAGGTAAAGTATGTCAGCAGCTAAACTGTATTAATGACTAGAGACAGGAGGGAATTTGGTAACAACAGTTGTGTTGCTGTTGAATCTTCTTAGTGTAGACAAAGCAACTTCTGCTCTCAGAAAGGCCACTTGATGGATTGAAGGAGAGAATAACTCCATTGTACACAGAACTGGAAACTTAAATGGTGTTTTGGCCATGTCCATTTTACTTGTTTGCATTAAGCAGTCCTACAAACACTGTTGTTTATTTGAATGGGGTGCATATTTAATGGATTTATTGTAGGTTCACATTTAATTGTGATTTTGTGTAAAACTAGCAATTACTATACTAACCGCTGGCTTCATTTCTAGGTTGGAATAAAATACAACACTCTTATATGTGTATCATACTTTAATTAAAGGCATCTGCATTACTTTCAGACATAGAAAAGCATGTGTTGACCACTAGTGGATTGTCTTAATTTAAGATTTGGAATGTGGCTTTTTGTCCATGCTTTGGTGGGGCAAATGCTTTTTAAGGTACAGGCACACGTTGCCTGCTTTCGGTCCTTTGGGTAACACATAATCATCACTGTACAATTGCACTGATAAAATACATATGTAGAAAATACTAATTATTTTTTGTCAATTCCTGTGCCATGAATCCCAATTTTACTGTTCTTTTCCACAAAGTATGTAATTTAGGTTTGCTCATTTTAACTTCCTGTGACTAAAAGTGAGCAGGATCATGAAGAAGCCTTTCAGTCTGGCCTTTTGGGAATTTCTGCTTGTCTCGTTACTTGTTGCTGTGGTCTCAATCTACTTTGTCTTTTCCCTCCCCTTTTTAATGCAATAGCTACTTAGTTTGACTATGTAGGAGCTTGTGTGAAGAAAGAAGAGTCAGGAACACGGTAACAAAGCACTCTGTGGATCATAGCTAAAGGCCTGATCTGTATAGCTGAAGGCCTGATACGTATTGCCCAGATCATTTAGCCTAGTGGTTAGACTGTAAACCATTGAAGCACCCTGATTTACACAAATGGTTCTGAGGAGATACAGTGCTTTTACTGAATTTCAATCAACATGGGCTTAAAGCCAGTCACTTTTGGAACGGCTTAGGTGCAATGCTGTGTGTGCCCTAACCCTTAAGTGCTTATCATCTATTCTTGGAAAAACTGAACCCCAAAGCTCAGCATAAAAAAAATGGATGCTTCAAGAAAAATAGTGGCATTCATGGAGGTACTTTGAAGCCATGGACTCTTAAAGTCTGCTTAGTATTTTTAGAGAATGAAGGGAATTAACTAATCTACATAATGCTGCCCAATCATCTTGCCAGTTCTTGTGACTCTGGAAGTGACCCCTTGAATGTAAATTGCATTCAGGGCTGTCATCTTCGTTCTGTTTACAGCTCTGTCTCTGTTCCATAGTGCCTTTCCAAGTAGCACTTTGGTGAAGCTCTTCAGATGGTCACTGTTTAGCCATCAGATTACTGACATGAACTACTGAACGGATCAAGAGCTGATTTAGAGTGAAACCAAACTGATAGGAGGAAGAAAGCTGGTTTTTAGCCTTTGTCTCTTTCCCCACTTGAGTTCACTGATGGAGCTGCCCTAGTCCCCTACAAATGTACGAGAAGGGGGAATATGGGGCAAGGAGGTCAAGGCAACTCTCGCATTTGCTTAAACCGGTGCATCTCTTAGATGACATGTCTGAAGAGAACTGTCTCTTGGATCTTGGGAAGAAAGGCTTCAGACTTAAGGTCTAGGCAGCGAGTTCCTATAGATCATTGGTTTATTTAAAGAAGCTTTTGCAAGTATGTGCAAGTTCTTAAGCACGTTAACCAAAACCTGGATTTCTATGACACTCTAAGTGTTGATTTTACCTATGTCTATTAAAAAAAAAGTTTAAACTAATGTAGGTATTACGTGTAGATGAAACCTGGGGGAAGGGATATATCATCTTCAAATAAGGCAAAAAAGTTTAATAGAGGGAAATGGTTTCTTCCTGTAGTTGAAGATGTGCTAGTAGCAATCTTCAAATTTTAATTCTGACATTCTTTTAGGGGTAAGAGGGGATATTTCTGGGTTTTATCACTACTGGGTTTTTTGAACATGTTTCTTTTACTGAACTTTAGAATGTATTTAGGGTCAAAAGTCTTTTTCCCTGAAGAGCCTGTGAGCTAGCTGGAAAATGTGTAAAGTAAATAATTTTTAGGAATGCTATTTTTATAGAAACTTCCGTAACTTATCAGAGGTCTTTAATGTGTTCTGGTGTCTTATGGGGAAGTTGCATGTTTTTATGCAGAGAATTACATTATTTCTGGATAAAGTTTGCATTCAAATTTCTGACTGGATCTGAAAAAGACCTACTCTGTGGTGTATGGTGACATCTGTGAGTTGGCTCTTTCTAACAGTTTCCTGGTAGCAGTAGGGCATAGCAGATCATACTTGTTTTGGTTTTCTTTTGTGTGTGTGTGTTTTGTTTGTTTTTTTAAATTTGTTGCTCTGAACCCTTGGATTGTACTGGAGTTGTGCTTGGTAGCTGGGATTTCTAGGTGATGCTACATCCACTGCTAGATTAACCTCAGCGTCTGCTGTCTAGTTTCAATGTGGCATGGCTGATACTCCCATCACTGAGCAAAGGAATCATTATAACATTGCACGAACTTGCTGTCCTTGTTAGCTCCTTCAAGCTCTGTGTGAAAACTCGGCATGTGAGATTCATGTAACAGGAATGCAGGCTCGCCGCAGCCTTGCATATCAGCAGCTGAGAGTCTATATTACTGAAAAAAGTATAGAAGTAAAACTGTTGTGCATAGATTCAGCTGTACGATACAAACCTGAAGTTGTGCATCTGGAAATACTGCCCTTTTATTGTTCAGGTAAAACCAAGTTTTTCTGTGAGAATTGTTCACTTGGAGAGTGGTGTTACAGACTCAAACACCTCTCATGTAGTTGTTTGAGACCTAGAAATACAGCTGTCCTGTTTGATCATCTGGTCTTCTCTACTTGTCTAGACATAATAAACAGAGAAGAAGGAATAGGAAGATAGGAGTTAATGTTCAGAGTTGGAGCACTAAGTACTGTCAGTGATCTTCAGCATCTTTCTTTTTTTTAAAAATGTTTTATTCTGTGATAGTTCCTTACTTTCATTTTTGCTTTCTTTTGCATAATTTCAGAAGTGACAACTCTGTAACTTTAATTTTTCAAGGATCAGAATTCTACTTTAATTCCCCCTACTAATGATCTGTGCTACTATTGTAAACAAGGGAAAATGATCAGAGTGAAATAAGCTGGAAAGACAGTATCTAGGAAAATAGATTATTAAAGGCAGTGAACAACAAAAGTTACTACAAGAGAAGACTTAGGAACTTAAAAATTCTAAAAGGCATTTAAAGTCTTAAATCAGTTAATAGACACTTAAGTGAAAACTATGTTGTCAGGGCCATCACAAGACTTTTTAAAATACCTAAAACCAGTAAAAGTATGTATGTATATACATTAAAAAAACAACTTTGGTTTTCTTCCTATAACTTGGTTTCATGAATGTTCTTGAGAAACTGTCTTGATGTATTTGGTAAATATTTTGACTTGTCAGTCCTCAGGATTACTGAGATCATTACAAAAATATATACACATCAGATGAAAATCACAGCTGCAAATTTGCTTGCGAAGGAATTGGTCCCCTTTCAGTAAGGGCCTACCAGTATATTTACTTATTTTCTTAAGCTGAAGTTATTTATAAGAACAGTCTACTTCATTAATGTGAATGTTTTTAAACTTCCATTATTTCACTTTTTGTTTTGATGCTTTTAGTTGATTCAATTGTCTGGTTTAATGTTTTGGTGTTTTTTTTTTTTAAATCTAATAGCATGAAATAAACCTGGTTCTGATTTTTGTCTCTTTAGTTGGTAACTTTCTGGTTTGCCTAAAGCAAGGTGAAAACCAGATCAATTGCTAGAAGACAAAATTGCTTCTGAGATCTGTAGTTGTACCAAAACTGACGGTGCATGTGTGTGAGATTAAAGCTACTGTGGTAGAAAAAGTTCAAGTTTTAAAATTGATGGTTTGATGGTTGAAGAGTTCTCTGAGTGTCGGTGTGGTGATCACAAGTTTATTCTGTACAATTTTGTAAGCTTGCTTGAAGATGAACTGCAACAGTCTTCAGGTTTTTGACAAAGCATTATGTCTGAAGAGTCATGTCTCTAGAAGAGTTGGCAGGCACATGACTTGAAAAGTCCATGACATGGCCTAGCATACTCTGGGTTTTATTTTCCAGGAATTCAGTCCTTGCTTTAATACTGGCAGTTGTTGAGAGGTGACTTAGAGGTGCTACCTCTGACATTCTTGGTAGACCACGGGCTATGTATTTTTGTTTTGTTTTCCGGTGGTGGTCTGTCATGTCTACTTGTGTTTCAGGTCTTCATTTCACATGTTCTTTGTATAGCTCCTATTATTGGTGGTAGGTGGTGTGTGTCATGATTTTGACAGAATTACAGTTTTCAGGTTGTGAGATGTCACTTAGCAGTCAAGTAATCCTGATGCTGTATTTGAAGACCAACTATTATTTCATGTAGTTCTTTCATGTTAAAGTCAGGTTTGTTCTTTCTGGGTTTACTATTTAGTAGACTCTTTCAGTTTTACTTTTGAGGGATTGAAATCTCCTGAACTAACATAGAACTGTTAGTGGTCAAATGGTGAAACTTCTGTTTCTAGAAGTGCTCCTCTTAGAACAAGATATAAGTTGTATATCTTGTATATATCTTGTATAAGATACAAGATACAAGAGTTCAGTGGGAATACAGCTGCTCTCTTCTACAGAACATAAGAGTTAATTCATGCTGATTTATGTTCAGCTGAAGAGATGCAAAATTTTGTTGCTGCTAGGAGGAAGACACCTTGTGCTTACTCTCACTTTGCCCAGTGATGTGATCTCACTTGCTGTTACAGATCTGATGCTTTTTAGACCCTTAAAAAAGCTGGTTTAATTCACTAGATGGTCAAAAATTACCTAGAGTTAGATTTTTATAGTTTTGATTGAGGTAGTGGTGTAGGTTAGCGAGTTAAAATAGAGCAGTTATGCTGAGTCTGGCATAAAATAGGTGGCAGGGGGAAAGGCTAGTTGGGACGAGGGAACAGAAACCTTCCCCTTCAGTAGTGGCAAACTGTTAATTTGTTTCATAATGCGGAATTGTACCATTGTGAGAAAGACACATAGGTAGAAGCAAAGTACTTCTTTAAAAAACAAACAACACCACCCCTCCCTAAAAAAAAAATGTTAGCCTGTGAACTTTGGTAGGGCATGTTGTGCTAAGTTTTACTGCAGACTTTATGTGCTACTGATTTGATGGTTTGTATCAAATGCAGTGCTGTTTAAGTGTGAGGTTTTCTGACTGTGGACAAATTGCTTAAATAACCTGCCTTCAAAGTGTTACTAAACTGTTTAGCTTCTGATTGATTAATATTGTCAGAGTATGGTCTTGTTTTGAATGAGCTGGTATAACTACTTAACCTAGACTGTAAATTCTGGTGCATTGTAATACAATTCTGCTTGTCTTGTTCACTTGGTGACAGACTTAATGTTGTCTTTGTATTACAGCTTTTTATTTCTCTGCTTTGAGAATGAGATGTATCTTAGGTACTTTATACAGATTGTGTTTGATCCCAATGTTTGTCCAAAATGTTACAGCAAGTTTTAAGATGTTGATTTTAAATGTTATAATGCACAGCGACCTTTTTATCATTTTGAGATGCAAAGTGGATTTAACTATTTCCATGATTGAAAGCCCTGTTTTTAAAACTGGAATTGACCTTTATCCAATTGTGTAGTTCCCTCTTGACATTTTCTGATTATGGTATAAATGTATACTCTGGAAGTTTAGGAATGAGATGCCTTGATTTAATAAACTGAGCTTCAGAAAATTCTTTTTTCTCTTCATTTCTACAATAGGTGGAAACAGTATGAAGCATACGTGCAAGCTCTGGAGGGCAAGTACACAGACCTTAATTGTAAGTTAGCCAAGTTTCAAAGTGGTATGAGTTACCTGAATGTTAGTATAAAGCAGAGTGTTCAAGTAATGTCTGTGCTTTCTAAAACTCTTAGAAGTAAGAGATAACAGTCTATATGTTGGTTATTTGTCAGAAAAAAAGTCCCTGTTTTTTCTAGTATAAGTTTTCAGCCTTTCCCGGCTTTCTCAGGCACTTATTTTCCTTTACAGATCTTATACAGCTTCTAAAAAGTCTATTTTTGCATGTGAAGGACCACCCACCTAGACTGCTGGGGGAAAAAAAACCTTCCCAAAACATAACCCCACAAATAAATAGGTGTATTTTCATGACTCTAGCATTAGAAAGGAAACGTTATCCTCTACCAAAATACTCCATGAATGTTTGTGCCTTCGGTAGTCTTACGGGACTGTAAACCACATGGGAGGGGGAATCGTTTGTAGAGGTAAAGGTCTAAAATGAGTCCCCAAGGAATGTTTGATCTGATTAGGTGAATTGACTATTTGGGTGTGAGTCTTACATGGTCTTTAAAACTTGGTCTGTACTTCAGTCTTTCAAAAGAGAATATAGGAAAAAATACTACTCTCAAATGAGAAAAGCTGGATACATTCTGGAAGTGACTGAATCGCTAATCCTAAGTCACTTGTAAAAATTGTGTTGGCAGTTTTTTCCTGTTTCCTGCTCACCTTTTGAGTCTCAGTACTTAGACTTCGTACTGCTGAGTTTGAATGTGGTTGGGGTTTTTTTGTGTCACTCCAAATGGGTGTCATCTCTCTTTTCTCTGTTGTTACATCCCTCTCCTACTGTCACCCCATAATGTTTAGTTTTGGAGAGACTAAAATACAGCAAATGTAAGCAATTGATTTCATTCTAATCTCAAACTGTCCTAACATAGATAAATAAGTTGTTAAAATGTTTCCAGTTTCTCACTTTTGCAAATTCTAATACAGGTTGTAGTAACAAGTATTAATGAATTACCTGCAAAGAATTATTTAGAAATAATTGTCCTGAAGCAATTTGCAATGTTTTTAGTTTACACTGACAGGTGATCATTCTCAAGTAATGAGAAAAAATAAAAATCTTAATTATTCCAACTCTCTATCATTTTATACGTGACAAGTAGCAGAGTGTTTATATTGGGCTGCTTGCATGTGCAACATGTTCCTGTTTGAGTAATTTGGAAATGTGCTGTGCTGCTTTCTTCTCATGTTTCATATATAAACTTTCATAAATATTCATAGATCAAAAGAATTGTTCTAGTTCCAACTGAACTGCCATTTCTGAAGTTCTCCAATGTCTTACTGTTTATTCATGGAGTGTTGAGACCAGTTTGAGGATTGATCACAAATAGCACTGGTTTACAGACTGGATTGTTCTTTTCCAGTGTAGACTTCTCCTCTCCCCCACACTGGCCTTAACATTTCTTACAGATAGCAAGACAATTCCAAATTCCCAAGTTTCAGACTGCAAGTTGTAATAGTAGTTTGTTAAGCATGGAATTTAAAAATTATTTCCTAAGTAAACATGGAAACATTTTCAAAAGTTTAGTAAGCCTTAAGGAAGGATCAGAAAGATGTATTTAAAATCAACTGTTGTCAAGCTTTTCTAATAATGATATTTGATTTTTCTTATTTATGCTTATTTATTTGGCTCTTTTACTGTTTATGAATTTGGTTTTCAGATTCTTTTAGCTGTCTTCAAAAACTGTTCATGAGAAGATGCTATAAAATGTGCCTTTTGTGTTTTA